TTCACTTTCCATTTAGTTAATTTAAAATTTTTTTATATCATCTTGAAGACTCTTTTTTTGTTGAGAAAAAAAGATTGTGAAAAAATACTGGAATGTGGCAAAAATATTGAGGGATTCTCAACTTTTTTATTTTCATCTGTAGGGCGATTCCATGGGTAAATGAAACTGAAATTTTTTTTTTCAAAAACTTTTTTAGCTTTTTCTGCTTAAATATACATATTTCAACATATCTTTTCACTAAATAAGACTTATTATTCATCAATTCATGTGTTATTAGCATTTAATCGTCTTAATTATGCTGCATTTTGACAAAAATATGTAATATGTTTTGCAATAATCGGTTGAAAGTTGACCGATTAAGTGGTGTTTTCCCCAATTTTCTCCTTAATTACAGTAGAAAGACATACAAATAAGATATTGTTATAAAGCACAGACGATTTCACGTGTGTTTATCATAGATTTGTAACACAACAATGGATATTCGAAGAAATATTGATGAAAATTTAAAAATCAATTTTTCGTAAAGTTGACCGATTAAGTTTGGTTTTTTTAAAATATCTTTTGTCAGACAGATTTAACTAAAAGATTATGCACTAAAATACATAAATACCATAATAATAAATAAAATAAATCTTAAATATGGCGTTAAATGAAGTTAATTAAGGAAATATTTACAAAAAATTGAGTTGAGAAAAAAAAAATCACTCATGGAATCGCCCTGTAGAAGAAGATTCAGTGATGCGTTTATGAATTTTATGGGAATTCTTAGGGAGCTGCTGTTTATGGAGTTATGAAATTTAGTATTTCTGGATTTGTCGGCTGTTTTGGGGGTGGTTTTGAGTTTATTTGCTGTTTTATTTTTTAATTGGACTAATTTTGAGTTTTAATATTTAGCTGTTAAGCGATTGGTTAGATTTTGTATCTTTGCTAGGCTCTCAGTGACCATGCGAGTCTTAATGAACTTATATGAGTCTCTGTGAGTTTCTGTGAGTCTCTGTGAGTCTCTGTGAGTCTCTGCGAGTTTCTGTAAGTCTCTGTAAGACTCTTTAAGTCTCTATGAGTCTCTATGAGTCTCTATGTGTCTCTGTAAGTCTGTAAGAATTTTTATGAATTTTCTTGAGTTACAGTGAGCTTTTATAAATCTTTATGAGTCTATATGAGTCTTTTTAAGTCTTTTTAAGTCTCTTTAGGTCGCTATGACTTTCAATGAGTCATTATGAGGTTCTAAAAACCTTGCTGAGCCTCTGGAGCCCCTTCCAAACCTGTCACCTGAATCTTTAAATACAAAAGAAAATTTTACGATCTTTAAGCAATATTTTCCATACCCTCAACGAACACATGTGGCAAAAAATTTAATATTCCTAAAGAAAATGCAATTTTAACTCTCCAGAACCACATGACTCAAAAATTCATTAACCAAACAGCAACTCTATTAACTTCGCCTCTGTTTCCATAAAAAAAGAAGCAGAAAAAAATCAATTTCTTTATTCTCATAAGTGGATTACATAATAAAGCTGCTTCCTCCTTTTTATATTTTCATTAAGAATTTTTCAAAAAAAATAAAGAAACAAAAAAATTAAGAATGGAAATTTTTCTTCTTACTCTACAGAGAATTTTCTTCATTTTTCCTCATTTTCATATTTATGTTATATACAAGAAATGAAAATGAAAATGACGACGATGTTGTATAATTTAAAAAGAGAATATAAATGTTGTGTATGAAAAAAAAACTTTTTTATCATCATTATCATCTTTTCCACTAAACCCCCCATCCGAGAAACAAGGCAAGAAGTGCCAAAAAAATATGGAAAAAAGAGAATTTTTGATGCCGAAAAAAAAATTGCGTCTATTGATTGATTTCATAAATCATAAGTTATTTCCTTTAGTCTCTCAATATTTGTATCTAGGAGTAAACTTTACATTGTGGAGATTTCAGTAATTGAGTCATCAGTGCAGAGGCTGAATGGCGTAGGAGTCAGAAATTTTCTTTATCTGATTTAAGAAAGTATTTTTTTTTTTTTGGAGATTTAGTCTTCAAGTGGAACTTCAGAGCAATTTACGGTCATAAACTTCAGTGAAATGAGTAAATCCATTTTTTTTATCTGGATTGTATGGCTTAAGGGAATAATTTGAGGAGATTTTGGTGATTGTTGGGAAGGTTGGGGTGTCTTTAAGAAGAATATCTTGAAATTTAGAGTAAAATCTAGTCAAAATCTGAGAAATTAAGGTTGATTGTGTTTTAAATGATGCTATAAAGTGTGTCTTGGGGATATGTGCATGAGCAAAGGGCTGTTTGTGTAGTGATGATGTATGTGATTGACAAATAGCTGAACCAAAGCTTACACATCTATGGCCAAGTAGGATGATAGACTACGAATCATTGTTTATCATTTTCAAAAGTTCAGGTTCGAGTCCTGTAAAGGTTTATTAAGTTGCTTCACATATTACACACAAAATGGTTTTAGGGAGTCAATATAACTCCAATGGAACCTTTTATGATCCCAACGTATGAAATATGACCCAACTAAATGATCAAGTGCATTATAACTTGACAGAAACATAGCTAGAGCTGCTTGATAACACTTGAGCACCTTATAAAACCTCTATTAATCGACAAGAGACAAGAAAACTCACATAACCCTCCAACTTCTTTCCTGAACATCCACAAAAAAATCCATTCAACCGCCTGCATCAACCCAAATCCAACTGAAACCTCCAAAAAATAATTATAAATAATTAAAAAAATTTCCTTCAATTAGCAATACTCCTTTAAATTCTTCTTTTCAGTGTACATGTTTTGAATTTACAACTTAATTTAGGATATACAGTATACAAGTAAGTAAGTATGTAAGTAAGTAGATAGTATAGACATAAGTAAGGAACCAAAATGAAAGAGAAGAAGTAAAAATAAACATAAAATAGAACAATAAGCCCTGCATTCATCCGAATTTGTTTTATCATGATTTTTTTTGCATTTAATTATTAACTATGCTACTCTCTTGTGGATGGATATTTTAAGAGGGGTTTTTAAGGTTTGCTGCATGCAATAAACTCTCTAAAACACCATCAATGACCATCCACAATTATTTTAAACTAAAAAAAGAATAAAATCTTTTTTCATAATTTTTCAAAAATTTCTAACTTAATTTCTATGATCATCAATTAGAGATTTTCATTTGTATCAATTTTTTTTGTAATTATTAACAAGCAAACAACCTAGGCGAAAATATCATCATTTTCAATACAATGTTTGATTTTTAAAAAATAAAATATATTCATAAAGTAAATTGGGGGGATTGATTTTTTGTTTAATAAATAGAAAAAAAAAGCCACATAATAATAAAATTAATAAATTTTCCTTATGCAAATAAAAAACTTTAATGATAAATTTTAAAATTTAAAACAAAATAATGTAAATTAACTAAACCTTTTTTTATCATCTTTATATTGCAATTGAATTCATTCATTTTTTTAAAAAAATTAATTTATTAAAGAGATTTATCATCTTCATGGCGCTATTATCATCATCACCGATACTATCAGACTTGAGAAATTAATGATTTTTTTCCATTTTTAATGTAAATTTTTTTTTTGTTCCATAAATTTTCGGAGTAGTTATTGAGTCTGGGGGGTGGAAGCTGTTGCGGGCACTGATGAATTTTAAATATAGTTCGAGATAAAATGCATTTTATTTTGAAATTAATGCAAATTATTTTTTTTGTAATAGTTTGTGAATTTATCTTTCAAAATATTAATCAAAATTTGCAAAAATTTTATCAAAAATTTCAGTAAATAGGAACATTTTAACAAAATTTGTGGAAAATTCTTTAATTCTAGTTTCTCAAAATTTTCAACTTTTTGTCCAATTTTAAGTTATTTTCGGTCAAAACTTCAAAAAAAACTTAAGTCTTTAGAGCCCACTGAGCCCCATTTGACCATCAAAAGTTATAAAGTACCCCTCAGTACCCTCAACAGCCACTCCAAACCCCACAACTCAATATAACAACCCAACTTCTCATCTCATTCCAGCATTCAGCGCCATCTCTTTTACAGTACGTGTATATCACAATTCAAGAGTAGTGACATCTTCAGGAAATAAATCCAACTAAAATAATTTACATGAGAGAGTGACTTTAAATGCTATTGAAATGAGAGTGAGAGAGGAAGTGATTTTTAAATATTTCTTGACCGTTACACTGGGGTTCAAAATTGTGGTTTGATGGAACTTCATTTGATAATGGATTTTTGCTATGATTTTGAATTGATTTTTTTAAATTCTTGCAAAGGGTGTTCTTGGGGTTTATTTTTGGGTTTGTTTGATTTTTTATTGATTTTTTTGGAGGGGTTGTTAATGACAAACTTTCTCGAAATCAATCAAAGCTGTCAACTTTTCAGAAAATCTTCAAAGTCTGTCAAACTTTCAGTCAAACTCTGTCTCTTTTTCCATATTTACTATAAATTATAGAAACTTTCATTGCATTTCTTGAATAATTTTAAGAAAATTCCAAAAAATCCTCAAACCTATCCAACAGACCTCACCAAACCCCAATCCCAACCTCTTTTTAAATCACTTCTAAAATTCACAAAAATAATTCATTTGCGCTTGTCTGATTTTCACAAATTATTGCTCTCGAATTTACAAAATTTCATCAAATTTCATTCTTTCATTAAATCGAACTAAAATGACCTTAAACAAGATTTTTTTTAACTCTAAAAGATTCTTCATCATTTAAAAACTAAACTAAATGTTGATATTTTTTTGTAGTTTCTTGAATACTGATTAGAAAGAGTATGAACAATACTTCCATGAAAAAAATTTTTACATCCGGAACTTACAGATGAAGTTCGACAAAAGGATCTCATCGAGCTTCATCTCTAAGCTCCACGGGGAAAATTTTCTCTTGAGGTCCTTTTTTCTTGGAAGCGGATTTTAAACATTATTATTTTTTTATACTATTTCTATTACATACAAACACAACCAATTATATTCATTTTTATATCTCTTCTGCTTAATTTTTGAATGCATCACTCAAAAATCTTTATCTCAACTTCCAGGTGGAGATGTGGTAATCCACTCATCCACATGGAAGTTTCCCAATTGTTTCTCAGTTTTACATTAAAAAATTTCACATTTTTTTTTTCATTGAGATAGAGGACTTTAGCTTCCTATCCCAATCATTATAAATAATCATCATCATCAATTGCTTTGTGTATCACAATCACAATCGATAAGAGGATTATTTTGAGATCAGAAATCGGGTGGATATTTTTCAGAGGTATTACTATTATTGCTACTAAATAAAGGAGCATTACTAGTAGTATCCTGATTATTTGATTGATATCCTTGATATTGTTCTTGATATAATTGGTTGAGTCTCTAACCAGTATTCGAGAAGCTACTGTGCCACACGTCCTATGCTGACAGATGCGCAAATTGGCTGGGATGGATATCGAATTGAGCGTATGGATGACCGTATGGTGACATGTGATATGGCACGATGTTCATTGATGCCATCTTGTGCTCTTTCTTCCACTTCATGCGGCGGTTTTGGAACCTAAAAGAATGAGAATTTATTAGAAATTGTTTTTTGAGGTTAAGGGAGCTGCTCCTCAAAATTCGGAGGGAACTTTAGCTGGTTTCTTAAGTATAAGCTGCTTTATTAGGATACACAACCCTAGCCATACTAAGGAATACGATTTTAGCTATATTAGGGTTCATGACCCTAGCCATACTAGCTTACAAGATCTTAGTAAAACTAGAGTATATAACAATGACTATACTAGGCACTATGACCTTAGCCTCACCCAAGAAACCAACTATAGACTCAATCCATACTTACCAAATCTTAATCTGGCGTTCAGTCAAACACAATGCATGAGCAATCTCGATTCTTCGTCGACGTGTCAAGTAACGATTGAAATGGAATTCCTTCTCTAATTCTAGCGTCTGATAGCGTGTATATGAAGTACGTTGTCTCTTTGTCTCGCCATTAGCATTCACTGTACCTTCATTATATAACGAAAAAAAAAGTAAAGATTTCAAAAAATAAATTTTTCTTTAACAAAATTCCGTAGGCTGTAAAATCAGCACAGGAACAAAATATAAAAAAAAATATTTTTTAAGCAAAATTGGACGTAAATTGAGAGAGAAATTATTTGCACAATGAAGCCATTCGGAGATGTGACGTGGAAATTTATGTGGGAATAATCTAAAACTAATTGAATTAATGCGATATAAATTATGCCGACGACTTAATTGGCATAGGGAGTGACGATGCTTTTTTTTAACATATTAAATTTATTGCAATTTAATATTTTTTTGACTTCGTCGCGAGTCATTGCATTGAAACGGAAAATTTTTACTTTTAATAACGTAGAAAGTTGTTTGTGTGATGGGATTTTTTTTTTTTGAGATGATAAAGGTGTTGAGGAGGTCAGATTGGGTGACTGGAGGGAGAGGGAAGAAGATCAGGGAGATTAAGGGTTGAACTGAGTGACTGAGGAGGGGGTAAGGTATGTAGGAAGTCATATAGGGTGATTAAAGTGAGATAAGGTTGATTGGGAGCCAATATGAGTGACTAAGGCTAGGATTAGGTCAAATTGGGTAAGTATAGAGATACTAAGTTATATGAGGGTCTAGAAAAGTGACTTAAGAGCTCAGATAGCTTCATCTTGATCAAAATGGGTCAACATACGGACTGAAGGGAGATTGATAATCAAACTTAGGTCCTAGAGTCAATTTATAGCTCATTTTAGCTCACAAATTCCAAAAATTCTTTCTCATCCTCTCAAAAATGCGCTCTAATCCTCAACAATCCCAACCTTCAACCTTCAAAAGAAACTTTACAAAATTAAACGAATGAATAAGAATGAAGCTGTGAATTAAATTAAATTAATAATATTATTGCACAGTACATCTTGCATCATATAAATTAGATATAAATTTTAATATATTTTTGCGGCTTTTTCCCTTTTTACTCTCACTGAAAAAAATGTCGTATGCACTAAATCATTTTCTTAAAAGAAATCTCCCGATCCACATGTTAATCCACAACGTCACAGCCGTGAATATTTTTCCTTTTATTTTGTATTTTTCTTAATTTGTGTCTTTATTTCTCAAAACTGAATATAATCTTCGTCATCATGATCTCCACATTTATTTAACTATTTAAATATTATTATGTAGACAAGTGTCTCATCATGTAAGTACATAAGTCTATCGATGTATTTTCATATTGAAACATATTTTGTTTTCGTGAGAGGAATGAGATACAGAGAAAATAATATTTATCTTGATTTATGAAATTTTTCTTTGTGGATTAAAATTATTTTTGACTGTCTTATTTTGTATTTTTGAGGTATATTGGGGATTGGTTGTGTGGTGGAGTTGATATTGAGTGATTGTTGCTTTTGTTTTGACTCATAATTTACAGTTTTTGGTGAAGAAACATTTTAATTAAAATCTTCAGCCTTAAAAATTAATTCAAACTCAATTTTCTATCAAATTTCAACTTAAATCCTCAACAATTACAATGCACTACAAATTTTCAATTCAACAACCTAAAATCACCGCCAATCCCTTTGAAATCAACCGCCTCAATGCCGTTCAATAAGTCTCAAAACCTTAACATGCCTCAATTTTTGCGAAACATTGTGAAAAGACTTTAATAACAAAGTTCAGATGAGAATCTAATAGAATAAAGGTAATTGTTTCCAAGCTGCTTATCTGCCAAACACCTTCATTATGTTCTATTAAATATTTTATTTGAACTTCATTCTTTGATGTAATTACACAACATCATGCTTATGAAAATTGTCTAGGTGCTTTCTTAAATGGCTGCAGAACAAAGGAGAGAAAATGGTGCTGTTTTGCATGATAAGCATGTTCAGCGGTATTTTCAGAGGTGGGAAAGATGGTGGATCTATTTGAAGGTTATAAAATGCTAGAGCTATAGTTGATAGGGTTGTAAAATAAAGAATCTAATATATTAAGAGAAGGAGGCCCTATAAATCCCAAAAAAAAAATAGATTCCAAGACAGATAATGCCCTAAATCTCAATATATCAGCAAAAAGTTCCTTCAAATTTCTTCATAAATCTCCCAAATTCCACGCGCGATCATAAGAAATCCCATAAAATACTCAAGAATCTCCTTCATTTGCTACACAACAAGCAAACACATTCAAGAATTCTAGAAAGAATTCAGCATTAAGCCTTAGCGGCATCATTCATTAAATTTTCTCAGTAAAAATCTCTTTTCACATTTTAAAAATTTGCTGTCTATTTGCTCGTTCCTTGGATGACAACAAAAAAAAATAAGAATCGTTGTTGTTTAATATTTTCTTGTTCACTCACTCAATTCATTTGTTTCGGTTCGCCAAAAGATGATGAGGATAAATGTGTGCGTTGTGGAATGAAAAACGCGTAAAGAAGAAAATAAACCTACATAAGTTGATGATTCTTTTTTGGCCGTCTTTTGTGTGCTTGTATTTCAGATATTAAATAAAAAAACCTTCGCGAGCCTGTCAGATGTGTGACATTCTACATTATTATTATTTTATTTCACATATTCAAATGTAAAATTATTCAGTACGTAAAAAAAAAGATATAAATTTTTTGAGCATGTATATGCCCCAGCACTAAATTGTATTCAAGAGAGCAAAAAAATAAGTTTTTTTTTCTGTAACAGTCAAAACATCATCACGAATGTCTAGCAAAAGATTCTGAAGTGAAAGCGTGTGGAAAGAGTTGCGTCACGAAAAGACATTTATCTTATACGATACGGTGATCCCAGCTGATCAAAAAAAAATTTTTTTTTATTTTATTTTCATATGAAAATCAAGAATAAGGAATTAAAGAAGTATGGAGATGTAAATCCATTTATGGAATTTGTATGATTAGATGTTGTGTGTCTGTAAACTAACAATTCTCATCTATAGTTGGTTGAGGAAATAATTAAAATGGATGTGTGTTAAATCGAAATGAATGTGGAGATAATTATAAATTTTGCAGGAAATATTAGACGTGTGCTTTGATTTTTGTAGATTGATATATAGATGATTGAGAGATTTTGAGAGTTGCAAGGTGAAGTGGTGACCTTTTTGGCTTTTTTGAGAGCTGGTAATTTTTATGATTGAATCTTTAGCCTTATTTACAATTTTAACTTCATCTTGTGGATTCCTATAGTTAGCTTTTGGTCTAGTTTAGCTCCTTTTTGGATAATTCTCGGTAAAACTCGTAAAACTTATGAAATCTACACATGACATGAAGAATGAATCCTAGACTATCTTAGATGACTCGATATTGGTATGAGAATCGAACCTAGGTTTTCACAGAAGACACAATATGATCGGTTGCTTAACCATTCGGTTACAGAAGCCTTAGTTTCACACTGACAAATACGTTTACATATTGATCGAAACTCCGACGTTACTATGCCTTAATGCAGTGTTTTCCAAACTTTTTGAGCCACAGGTAAGTCAAAATACAGTTTGGCGCCGTTTACTTATGACGTCCAGGGGAAGGGGGGGGTCAGCAAGAAAAGAACAAAAGAAATTCCAGGTAATCCATTGCTCTTTTTGAAAAATGATCGTTAATTTCGGACGTCATAAGTGAACGACCCCTTTGCGGCTAGCGTCATTTCAAAAAAATTCTGCAGCACACAGTTTGGACAACACTGCCTTAATGGTATTACCAATATACCAAAATTCAATATGAACAACTTTAAAATATTCAAATATTCAAATAAAAACTTCAAAAAAACTCAAAACCCCTTCCATAAAACAGCCAACATTTCACCACTTGATAAGAGTAGTTGAAGTCGTAAAAATGTAATGAAAAGTCAATAGAAAACAATTAATCACTCGTCTCTTTTTCACAGAAGTACACAAATTCATTCCGATTCCCATTTCACCCCGTACGATATTCACAAATGGTTTTTCGATGTTTGCATTTTGTGAAAAATTAGGTTCAGTTCTAAATTCAATTAAAAATGTCACAAGCAAAAGAATTCTTATTTTTTTTGGCTGTTTAAAAAGAAGTCAAAAGAAACTTCAAACACAAGAAAACGAGAACTCCGTGAAGAGGTCTTTGAATTGAATATGTATAAGAAGTATGTGTACGCATAGAATTGTACTCATCTCAAAAAAGTAATTTTTCTTCATCCATCCATCCCCCCGGACGTCTATTTCGTATTTTTTTTCGGTTTATTTGACGAAGATTTGGCAGAAAATCGATAACATAAATCGATCCGTACGCATTTTTCCATTCCTCGTGTTCTACATTTTAATGACAACAACAACAATAACAATACATCGGCATGGCACATCCACATTGCGATCATTTGTTATATTCTCTTTTATTTTATTCTGGGGAAGTAAAGTAATGGAATTCTTCAGCCTTTAGCAATACTCTAGACTAGTAAAAATATTATAACATAGATCTGCTATTGATGCCTTTAACTAAAACTGACCTAAGACAAATACACAACCTTCAACCATAAAAATCGAGAGAGCGGGAATATAAAAAAGTTTTTTCTTTATTCATTAATAATGTTTCTCATCTCCAATATGTATGTGTGAAGCTATTAGCAGGCAAACTGTGCCCACTATTGAGCATCAATTGAATAATAATTTTTAAATGAATAATTTTTTGAATTTTTTTTTTGTAGTGAAATAGTTTGTTTTTGTGGAAGTTGAGTTTTTAGAGCGCATTTTACTTCAACATTCAGCTTTAGTAATTTAAAAAAAAAGGATTATATAGACATTTATGCATTATTCTGTCAGAAATGTATAAGAGATCAATGGTCAACTGGTCAAGGTATCAGATCAGTTTATGAAAATTCTTGTGCATAGGCGACATGCGTTCGAATCTCAACAGCAACTGGATCTCAAGTATCTTTTGTGTGTGATGGGTAGAATGACTTGAATGACTAGGACTTCGAAGGATCGTCATCATTTTCAACTTTAGTATCAGCAAGGCACCCATACACAACCTCATATCAGATAA